AATACAAATTAAAACTAAGCCAAGAATTCTTTTTCAACAGCCCATAAATGAATGATGGAATACTGACATAAGCAAAATAGTGTGTTTTAAGAAGACTTCATTCTGTCTAATAACTCAAGATAGTTATGACATTACGTAAAGAAAATTAGTGAGACGCACGAGTCTGTGGTTTTCTCCACCCACTGCTGAGGGTGTATAAAAGGACTCTGGCAGATGGCAACACTCACACCAACGATACCTGCTCCCTGCTCTTCAATTAAACCTTCCACTCCTGTCACCATGTGCTACTACGGAAACTACTATGGCGGCCTGGGCTATGGCTATGGCCTGGGCTATGGCTATGGCCTGGGCTATGGCTATGGTGGCCTGGGCTACGGCTATGGCTGTGGTTATGGTGGCTACGGATTCAACCGCTTCCGCCCACTGTGCTATGGAAGATACGGGTCCTATGGCTTCTACTGAGGAATTCCCAAAGCTGCTCAGACTATTGGCCACATCTTCCTATTTTCCTGGCACCGTCTCCTGTTTCCTTCGCATGGGAGATCTTAACCTGTTTACAAAACTATCTTGAAAAAATTTCAATTCCATATGCACCATTTGATTTATCATTAATAATTTAACTGTCTTATTGTTTGTAGAGAATAAATCTGTTGACATTGTACTGTCTTCCAAATATCTTTTAAAATTAGTTTCATCTTTCATGTGAAATAAATAAATAAAATATCTCACTACAAATATTGCTTTATTACAATTATATAGTTATCTTCATGAGCTTGGCTTATAAGTATGTGTATCTGGGGTTGGTTCTTCATGTGCCCTGGTGTTTATGCATCCATCTTTGTATACAAACTAAGCAACGGGCAAAATGTGCATATCTAACTTTCAATGCCGAATGTCTGGTAAGTTTGACCACAAATCTAATCTATAAGGTGGCAATACATCTATTTCACAGCCTCCTAAATCTATATTCTCATCGGCACTCTCCTATGATACTTTATCTCTGACCCTAACTACATGGTGATGCTGCTTAAAAATTAAAAAAAAAAAAGTTAAAAATAAGAATTCCTTACTTCTGTGAAATAGGCATGAAACAGCAGCAAGTTTGGGGTGCTCACATGAAACACCAACTTTCTAAATTTCTGGCCATCATTCAAACCTAGTATCTCACTACCTTTTTAGGATGCTAATCACAGGCTTGAGGGTCCTCAAGACAAGCTTATTTAATGAGCTTCAACTTCCTACTGCCCCTTTGATATTTATAATTGGGTTTTGAATTAATAATAGAGAATACATTATGCTTATGAATGTAGAGTCTTTATAATAAAAATAAATAAGTAATTAAGTTATGCACAGGGTGAGGCCTGATAGGTCTTCAACCAGAACACCAATGGACTCTTGAATGATCAATCTTCCTAAGATCACCTGTTCTTACCAAATAGAAAGTGCTCAACAACATTGAAACTCCTCTGAGTCTCAGAGTTCAGGCCTCTTACTAGCTTCTCCATGTGACCTTGACAAACTACATTATGACCCTGATGCTAGTAAACCTTGGTCTCCTAAGCTAACCTTCATGATCTAGACAATCCCCAATCATTAACCTGAGCTGTAGTCTCAGGAATAGTGGGGTTAAATATTAATATTTTTGCTATACCTTGCATTGTGCATAGAGAGAAAGATGGAAAGACAAATAAAGACTCACAGAGATCCTCAAGGAGATGATGGGCACAGTGGCTGCAACAATGGACTTAAACATAAGAACAATTATGAGGATGATGCAGGACTAGGCAGTGTTTCATTCTGTTGTACATAGTTGTGTACATTCTGTGTACATTCTGTTGATGCACATAGTCCCATCCCACCTGCCCTTTTTGGACTCTTCTTTCATTCTCCAGTGATAATCCCATCTATAGGCTCAAATACCCATTCTGTTTTGCTTCTTAACTTCCTTTTGGATGTTAGATAGAAAAATACAAAGTCTGTGACTACGGAAAAGAAAAAAAAGACTTAGAAAGAACCCTTTTCTGGTTACGATGTGTCTAAAAATAGAAATAGTTCCTCCCAACACTATATGTTATTATGCACACACATGTACACACACACACATACAGGATATCCTACGATTTGCTTGTTCTCTTATCAAAGGCTTAGAAAATACCTCTTCAAACTGAGTAGTTGTATTTTATAGCAGAGAATTTAAATTTGCATATATTTGTATGCTTTCGGTATTATTAGAAATTCCATGGTTCTCAATTTCTTAAAAACAGTCATCTAAAGTATGAATACAGTATTATCATATGAAAAAGTCACAATAATGTTTCAATTGGTGAATATAATGAACAAATAGTAATTTTAAATTTATTTATTCTACACATAAAATTTAACAATTTTTAAAAAGGTATAATTCATTTTACTCTACAAAATATACAATGTGGAACAAAATACTCTTTTTAAAAAAATGATATATTTTCTCGGTATCAAATTAAAATCAATTATAGACTAAGCACTACCAAATGTATACCTTTGTTTGTCTGCAAGTAATTTGTCTTCTCCTCCTTTTTTTCCCAACTACATTCCTCTACCATTGTCCTAGGCTAGAGAAAATTTAATAATAAAATTAAAATATAAGTTAATTAGCTCTATCAAACTGAAGCAAAAACTGTAAACAATGGAATTAACACCAATAATGTTGGTTATACTTTATTCTTCAGCCTATATTGTCTGTGACACAATTATTTAATTCTCTCATGTAGTATACAAACTGCTAAATACACAACAAAAATAAATTGGCCTCTATGTTCTTCAGTACAACTTTAGTGACAAAAACTGTTAAGCAAGACTGACTGATCATAGAATTATATTTTTATTCATCAAATCTATTCTCTCCTTCTTCACCTTAGAAAAAGCTTGAAGCCCACACTCAAATTGACCTAACCTAGATTATGTTGGCCATGTTCCCAAAGAAATGCAAACCTATTTTTGTAAGACATAAATGCTGGAATTGTATGAAACTGAATTTTTGTAGTTTGCTTAAACAATGTTTTATAGCGATCATTTTCTTAGATACATGTAGAAGTATACAAACCGGCACATTTAAGATTTTTCAAGACAATAATACTGGTAACTGTGAAAAACTGGAAATAATTTAAATGACTATCAAGAGTAAAATCAGTAAATAAATTGAGATCTAGTTTCATATTAACATTTCCATAGCTCTACACAAATAACATATATTCTACTCTTGTCCTTTTAATTTGACCAGGTATGTTCATTCTCTTAAAGATCTTTTCATAAGTTTATTCTGCTACTTTTTCATGTTGTCTTGAAAAATTATCATAGTAATCTTAAAAATACCATGTAGTGAGGAATGGGAGGCACATGGCCCAAAATATCATATACACACATCGATGAAAAGTAATCACATTGCAATAGTTATCCAAAAAATATACAGAGCATAGGGATTTACATATAAAGATTCCAAGTGTGTGATTCCTTTTGTTCAAAAGCTAAAATTTAGTGAAACATTTCTATAGTTTCAGAAATCAGAATGTTACACATAGGGCTGCTTCTAAATGGAGAAGCCAATTGGGGTCCTAGAATGGCTTGAATATTAGAACCAATCATTCACTGAACATTCTGCAAAGTCTATACTAATGTATCTAATTCTGTATTATACAAATAGGCTACAAAATTCCTGGATAACTTCTATTATCATTTAATTCCATTTTTTCTTCAAGTTTGAAGCCCAACAATGTGTTTATAAAGTCCAAACCATAAAAAGGAAGAAAGAAAGAAACTCAAGGAGAGTCTAGCTCAGTGGAGCCCTGGTAGTGTAGACAGGTGCGACCCATAGTGACCTTATGCACAACAGAATACAACATGGTCAGGTCCGGTGCCATCCTCACAATTATTCACATTGGTCTGCTACAAAGAAGGTCAGCCTTTCTGACCATCAGCCACACTCAAAGGAACAGCATCATTCATGGTGATGTGGAGGGGCACTGCAAAATAGGATGGCCGTTGACAAGGTGGATTGACACAGTAACTCCAACAATGGGCTGAATAAAGGAAAAATTGTGAGGACATAACATGACCGGGCAGTGTTTCTTTCAGATTCACACACGGTTACCATGAGTATGGAATTGACTGCATCGCATCCAATAAAGCAGCAAAAGATTACAGTCTCAGAAACCCCAGGATGTAGGTTCTGCTCTACCCAGTAGGGTGTCTTAAATATGTGTATATCCAGAATCAAACTCACTGTCATTGAGTTGATTCTGATTCCTAGAGAGTTTGTAAGGCAGCACAGAAGGTGCCCCTGTGGTTTTTTAAGACTGTAAATGTTGGCAGAAGTAGAATGCTTGCCTTCCTCCTATGTGCATATATATGCATACATGTATAATGTGTTTTATAAAGAAGTTTAAAAATATAAGTTTATAGTCAGTTCACAGAAATCATTCTGTCAGAAACACAATCTATTAGAAAAGGCTTTGTTTAGCTGAAAATACATGGAAAATTAGACAGACTTTGGACATTAAGTAATTTCCCCCTTCTTGGTAACCACAACCCATTGAGTACATTATAATGTCAGATTGTATAATAGAATGAGCAATGGACCATTCCTGGAAATCCACACCTGTGTACAAATTATATAAAATTCAGCCGAGACTTGCATACTTTGTGGAATTCCATTTAAGCTCATGATATCAAGCAAGTGGCCATATGTAGAGTGAACAAAAGAGTTAAAAATAAATAAATAACTCTTATTAGAGGCACATGAGTTGACAATATAGCAAGCATTTTGTTATGAAGGTTTCATTTCACTTTACAATTCAAAGCATTCAAAGATCTCTAATGAAAATTAGCATGAACTATGTGATAAACACTGTCTGTGGTTTTCCTCATCCATACTGGAGGGTATATAAAAGACCCGGTGCAGATGGTAACAGTCAATCACAGGTACTGATTCCCTGCTTCACACTAAATCTTCCACTCCTGACACCATGTGCTACTACGGAAACTACTATGGTGGCCTGGGTTATGGCTATGGCGGCCTGGGCTACGGCTATGGCCTGGGCTACGGCTATGGAGGCCTGGGCTGCGGCTATGGCTGTGGCTATGGTGGCTATGGATACAACTGCTGCCGCCCACTGTGCTGTGGAAGATATGGGTTCTATGGCTTCTACTGAGGAATTCCCAAAGCTGCTCAGTCTATTGGCTACATGTTCCCTGTTTCCTGGCTCTGTCTCCTGATTTATCCACATGACAGAGATTAAAATATTTACAAAACTACCTTAACAATATTGCAATTACATATGTAGCATTTGATTCATCATTGTTATTTGAATCATCCTGTTCTTTGTAGAAAATAAGTCTGTTGACATTATATTGCCTTTCTGATATCTTCAAAAATGTTTTCTCATCTTTTGTGTGAAAAATACATTAACAAATAAACTATTACCAGAATTTTTGCTATATTACATTTAAATTTTTATCTTCATTAGATTGGCTGCCATATGTGTGTCTGTGGGTGATTATTCATGTGCCTTAATGTTTAGACATGCGGGTTGTTATATAAAATACACAAAGGACAAAGTGTGCACATTTATTTTTCATTGCCACATAAGTTTCATCATAAATCTAATCTATGTGATGGCAATATATCTAGTTCATAGCTTCTTATTTCTCCATTCTGATTAGTAGCCTCTCTTTTTGTATTTTATCTTTGATCCTAATTACATGGTGATGTTGCTTTGGAGGTCAAAAGTTAAAAGGAGAGTTCCTTAATAGTACTAAATAGGCATATAAGAGCAGCAAGTATTGGGTGTTTACATGAAACACTAACCTTCTGACTTACTGGAAATTATTCAAGGCTAGTATGTAAATATTTTTTCAGAATACTAATCACAAGCTGGAGAGTCCACAAGACGAGATTTTTAAGTGAGCTTCACCTTCCTACTGCCCATTTGGTATTCACAACTCTAGATTTGGAATTGAGAATAGAGAATATATACTATGCTTATGAATATGTATGCTTTATAATAAAAATAAATAAAACCAAGTTATGCACAGAATGAGGTCTGATAGGTCTCCAACCAGAAGATCAATGTTATCATGAATGATCAATCTTCCAAAGAGCACATTTTCTTCACAAATAGAAAGTTCTCAACAACACTGAAACTGATCTGAATCTCAGAGTTCAGGATTCTTATCAGCTTCTCTATGTGACTATGAGAAATTACTTCATGTCCCTGATTCAAGTAAAAATTGATCTCCAGTTGATCTTGCATAGTCTGGACAACCCCTAATCCTTGATTGTAGATGTAGTCTCAAAAATAATGGGGTATGCAAAAAATATTTCTCCCCCTACCTTGCATTGTACAAAAGAGAGAAAGAGGCCAACAGAGAAAGAGAGAGATACAGAAAGAGAGAGAACTTTGTGGTGATAACTTGCCCCCAAATAGAAAGAGTGACATCAATTTTTTTCTAACACTGTTCATGATATATTGATATGTAGATATGCTGTAGATATGCAGATATAGGGTCTCTTAACATTGGCCTCTGCTATTTTATAAGGCTTGGAAAATATCTAGTTCATGATGAAGAACCAGTAGCATTAAAGGTAGAAGCCCTAGCTGCAGTGAAAACACAAGGGTCCAGAACATGACAAATTGTCCATTAAAATGTTTCATGAGCTGATTCAGTGCTGGAAACACTCACTAGTTAGTTTTTGCCAAGGAGTTTGGGAGAGAGCTAAATGAACAATGACATGAGGGAGTTCCGTATTTGTTCACATTCCTAGGAATGGAGACCAAAGCATGTGGAACAGTATTATGAACATCATAAACAAGTAAAATTTTATCAAGAGAATTCAAGAATGGTTGCAACAACACATTGAAAAAAATATGATACAAGCAGCAAGCTGCTTCTACAGTGTCAACAAGAGAACCAAGATTCAATGACAGAGGACCACCTGGTCCTAACGGCAGTCATAGACGAGGCAGAGGTTGAGCTCCCACAGAAAGCAATCTTCAGAATGCTGCTTGGAGTCATACAGGGCATGGGGGAGGTATTACAGAAAAAGGATGAAATGACAGAGGAAATAGAGGCCATGCACCAAAGGGAAATACAGGAGTTAAGACTTTGCCCAGAGAATGGAGGAGGCAGAAAACTGCACCAGTGACCTAGAGGATTCACAAGCAGAAATGAATAAACGTAAGAAAAAGTCTAACAAGTCCATCAGAGAAGCTGAAGAAAACCTCAAAGCTATGTCTGACACTATGAGGAGGAACAACATCAGAATTATTGGCTTGCTAGAGGAATCCAAATCAAGGAAACCAACATATCCAAAACAGTGATGGGATGCTTGGAGGAAAACTTCCCTACCTTAATAAATGAAAACCAGTCAACTATCCAGTAGGCCAAAAGAACGCAAACTAGACTGAATCCCAAGAAGAAGTCACCAGGATATATAGTTAGCAAACAATTAAACTATGAACTAAAGGAGCAAGTTATGAGAGCAGCTGGGTAAAAACTGGCAACCACAAATAAAGGTAAGCAGATAAGAATATGCTCAGACCTATCAGCAGACACTAAGAAGAGGAGGAGACAGGGGAGCAGCATATTCTGAACATAGCAGAAAACCAAAGAACATTCTTTCTAGCCAAATTATCTATCAAAAATGATGGAGAAGTGAGAGTCCTTCTGGACAATGAAAGTCTCGAAGAATATGCTGAAAGCAACCCAGCACTACAAAAGATCCTCATTGACCCAGTATGGGCAGAAGAGCAACACTCACCAAGCACATACAAGAAACCGCCACACAGAACAACTCCACCCAGAGACCATCAAAGGGAAAACAGCTCCCAAGATAACACTGGCTCAACGATGGAAAGAAGGCAAGAATGATCCACAAACACACATATGCACAACGCATGGAAAATAAATGGAGGTAGGAAACCACCCAATACAAGAGGGATAATATGACATCACAGAGTCCACAGATAGATGTATTAAGCCCGAATACCAATGGAATGAACTCAGGCTTTAAGAGACAGAGACTAACAGACTGGTTTAGAAAACATAACCCCTCCATCTGCTGCCTACAGGAGACACATATCAACACTACAGACAAAAATAGGCTGAGAATCAAAGGCTGGAGAAAAACATACCAAGCAAACAAGAATTCAGAAAAAGCAGGGGTGCAATCCTAATCTCGGATAAAATTGACCTCAAAGTGCAAACCATAAAAAGAGATAAGGATGGGTACTCTATAATGCTCAAAGGAGCAGTACATAAAGAACCACTAAGCATTCTAAACATTTACTCTCCAAACAAGTATTCAGCGGAATATGTCAATCAAACACTCCAAAAGATTAACAAAGAAACCCCAGCCTGAACAATTATAGTAGGTAACTTTGATACAGCACTATCTAGAAAGATAGATCACTTGAAAAGAAATGCAACAAGGAGGCTAAATATATAACACGACAATTAGACAATTTGACCTGATACATATCTACAGAGCTCTCCACCCAAATACAAAGCAATTCATTCTTTTCAAGCCCACATGGCACATATACAAAAATAGACCACATGCTAGGGCATAAGTCGAACCTACATAAACTTAAGCACATTGATATCATACAGACTTCTCTGTCTAACCACTGTGCCATAAGATTGGAAGTCAACCAAAGGAAGATAAAGAAATCAAGGGCAAATAATTGGAGAATGAATAACTCTGTACTGCAAAAGGAGTGCATACTGGCACAGATCAGAGATGATATTAGGACATTTCTAGAAACCAACGAGAATGAAAACATGACATGCCAAAACTTATGGGACACAGCAAAGACAGTCATCAGAGGAAGCCTCATAGCATTACATGCACACATAAAGAAGGAGAGGCTTAGGTTGATACACTGGCACAAAATTTACAGCAACTAGAGCACAGTCAACAAGACAATCCAACTAACAACAAAAGAAAATAAATAATAAAAATTAGGTCTGAAATTCAGAAGAGAGAAAATAAAACTATGGGGAAAAAATCAATGCATGTAAAAGGTGGTTCTTATAAGGATAAATCGAATTGACAAACCTCTCACAAATTTGATCAAAGAAAAGAAAGAACATATTTCAATAGCAATGATCAGTGATGAAAGAGGTGATACTACAACGGACCATACTGAAATCAAAAGGATAATTACACAATACTATGAAGGACTGTACTCCAATGAATCCAAAAACTTGGAAGACATGGCCAAATTCTTGGAAAAACAATCCCTCCCTAAATTATCCCTAATGGCCATCAAGAACCTCAACAGATCCATATCAATGGAAGATATAGACAAGGTTATCAAGGAATTACCAACCCCAAAATCACCTGGACCTGATGGGTTTACAGGAGAATTCTATCAAGCATTCTGGGAAGACACCAATCCTACACAAACTCTTCCAGAACAACAACAACAAAAAAGATGGCAAACTCCCAAATTCCTTCCATGTAGCTAGTATAACTCTGATGCCTAAACCAGACAAGGATCCCACAAGAAGTGAGAACTACAGACCAATTTCCCTAAAGAATATTTAAACAAAAATCCTTAACAAAATACTAGCCAACAGAATACAAAAGGATATAAAACAAATAATTCACCATAGCAAATAATTGGAGAATGAATAACTCTGTACTGCAAAAGGAGTGCATACTGGCACAGATCAGAGATGATATTAGGACATGTCAAGAGGAAAGAAAATGTTTTCTACCTGATTGTGGTAACATTGTATAATACTGCTTGATGTGATTGAACTATGGACTGTTATTATTTCTGTAATGACTCCCAATAAAATGATTAGAAATGAAAAACAAAACAAAAAAGCAAAAAATAAACTAACAAAAAAGAATGGTGCATCAATTTTAACCTTAATGTGTGCTACAGGCCCATTGATAACATCTTATGGGACAGTTGACTATGACAAAAGGAAGCATAAAATATACTTTCTGCCAATAAGATGGCTATATACCATCTGGAAAGAAGAACATAATAGAAAAAAGCAAAGGGTTCATAAATAACACTTAAATATATTTACACATGATAATAACTTGACTCAGTGTCTAATCATTGATAAACTGGAAACTGGAAATATATATGATTCATAAGCAACAAGGCTTTTGAAACATGTTCCTGGAGGA